GGCTGTTACATTCTCTCATTCTGAATTGTACACCACCTCCACAACTCTTGCTACATTCACCATATGGACCATATTCACCATAACCTCCATCAACTGTCATAAAATTAAGTTCATTAAAATTCAAAGATGAATGATTAATGAAAAGGTTAATATAATTAGCAGTGAATTAAGTATAAAATGGAAAAGAAAAACGCACTTGGGCAAGGATTGGTGTTGCAGGCCTGAGAACTTGTTGCTTCTCCTTCACATTTCTTCCCACCTCCTTGTGGCTTAGGGTTGGTGCAATTCCTTGATCGTGTTTGTACGCCATTTCCACAAGATACACTGCAGTCTCCATAAGGTCCCCAGTCAGACCAATTGCCATCAACTATGCGAAATTTCAAATACATTTGAAACTGTATTAATAATGTGAAGAAAGATGAACATGAACAAGGACAAGAAAAACAATAAGGAGACGAAGAACAAGGTGAACGAGAAAAACAACAACAGATATAACAACAAGAAGACGTTAAGGGTTATGACAATGAGCACGACGCGGATGAAGGAAGACAGAAAGGAGATGACAAGCTTACCATCGTCATCTTTCACCACCACAATGGCTTTTCCAGGTGCAACAATCAAAGTAGCGGGATCTGCACAGCCGAGTTGAACAAAGAAATCTTCGTCTTGTTCTTCTACTCCATCATTTACAATAGTGATAGAAATTTCCTTGGACGTTTCATTTGGTGCAAAGGATACCTCCTGTTGCGAAATGGCGACGTAGTCACTTGCAGCCTTGGCGATTCCATCGACGGTGGAGATGCTGGCAACAGAGCAATGCAAGTTCTCATTATCTTTTTTTTTTTTCAAGTTAGGAAGACAAGGATTGCGTAGCGGTAAAAGGGCTCGCCTCCCAACAAGGCGACCAGGGTTTGATTCTTGTCCTTGTATGTGAGACTGGAGTTGGTTGTTGATTTTCTCCTTTGTTCCAAGGGTTTTTCTCCGGATTCTACGGTTTTCCTCTCTCGCAAAAATCTACCTCGAAATTGTTATTGTAATTCAGTTGTAAATTGATTCTTAATAATATATTAATCCAATGAAAAAGCTTACCAGACTTTATTTGCTGCACGAAGACAACCTTCTCTGTACACAGTGACTTTGACCATTTCTAAATTTTCTTGAACTTCATAGCTCTCTGGACGAAGACCAACCTTTGCTGAAAGTTGAATAATTGCGAATAAATTTTGAATTTTCGGTCGTTCAGGTTTAGCTTCGATTTTGTGTACAAAATTCCAGTGAAGGTCCGTGAAAATTCAAAGTGCATTTAATTATCCTACGTTGGCCCATAAGATGCATTAATAAGCAGAGGAGAATCGCTTGACGTTTCTCGACAAAAATAGCATACTTTAAATGGATTAGAATTCGTCGAAAACTAACTAAACTTTTCTAGAACTCATTACCAATCAGCAAATTTCGCGCGAAATGATTAACRCTTAAAATTGCAGCAACTCCCTTGACATGCAGCAACTTGTTTTCAACTTGCAGCAACTCGTTTCTTATTTCATTCAATGTAATTTTTCTAACATGCTGGAACTCGTTTCTCATTCGCAGCAACTTATTTCTTATTTGCAGCAACTTAATTCTTTAAACATGAAACATCTCGTTTCTCATTCGCAGCAAATTGTTTCCGTTATTTGCAGTAATTCGTCTAGCTTTCTGCACCTATCTGTTATTATAGATTATGCATTCTTGACTTTCTTTCCTTACTGGGGATTTGATGCTAACCCCGAATAAATGAGGGGAATAAGTTATGAAATTATAATCGAGGCTGAGACCATGCAATTTCACAAATTGGATCTATTGATCAGACTAAGTAGGGTTCAAGCAATAGATGGGGTGGCTTTTAAAGTCGTTCACGTTAGGGATATATACCTGTGCAGTCTTTGATAGTAATTGTTGTGTTTGCTGGATCGACATCGAGTTTGTGAGGATCTGCAGTAATGACAGCAATAAAAGACTCCAGAGGTTCAATGAGTCGGTCCTTGTTGATGGTAAACGTGACTGTCTTCTCAGTTTCTCCCTTGGTAAAGTTGATAACAAGGTTTTCTATCTTGACATAGTCAGCAGGCTGCATGGCTGTGTCGTCTTGTGTACTCACTCTACGTAAACAATAATAAAAATGTACAAATGGGAATTTTACCGTGAGGCGATTAGGGAACCCATTAACCCTTCATGTGATTAACGTTTATTAGTTCATAAAGTGTGTGTTATGAATTAAAGAACACATTTATCTAACTGTGGTCAATTACTTTCATTTTTTTCGTAATTTGCATTCAAGGCTAAATAATAAGCGGTTATCGTATAGTTGGTATTCAGTAAGATATGTACCAAGGAGCGTCATTCTTAATATTTTTATCAGCTAAGGAAACCCTCACATTCTTTAAATGTCGGTATCTGCTCTAAATGGAAGTCAAACAATGACCACCATGTGCTATCATCCAGAAAGAATTCTATCGAAATCTTGCGATGCAGCTGATGAACATTCAGAACAGCAATTTGAAGTCAGCATACAAGGTCACATATTGCTAGTGCGCACACTAGTCAGGAAGGCGTCGTGGTAAAATGCTTGCCCCTCACCTCTGAGGTCTGAGGCTCGAATCCCAGTCGCCCAGTGTGAGCTAATTGGTTCGCTTTCTGCTTCAAGGGTTTTTAGCTCTCAAACAAGCTCACGTCGACCCTAATATAACTAATTTAAACTGGCTAGAGCAGTGTTTCAGCGACATACATGGAATGTATCGCGGCTGCTAGAGATGCATTCTCATTGCTTTCAGCTCGACCCTGTTGAGTTGCGCCACTGCTGGTGGGTGGTGAATTGGCGCTAACAGTCTTTCCTTCTTAAGGACGTTCCACGCATTCTGACGACTAAACAAAGTCGCTGACCACCACTATTTTATTTACTTATTTTACTTATAGTATGATTTACTTTCATCATGCAAAATTTAAAAAATACGTCGACGAAGTGACTTTTTGCCCATAAACGTATTAAGCGATCTAATCAGCGCGTGCGTAACGCTAATATGAATATCCTTACTTGATGGAAGCTTCGCAGTCTGTTTTTCTTGATCTTATAATCTTGAGTGTAACTGTTCCAACATCCTCACTTACTGTCACTGCGGTCTTTTCCCAGCCAACCAATCCTATGAAATAACAATTGTGACCAATAAGTGCGCTGTATTTGTTAATAAATATTAAAATGATATTCCTTTTTTTTTGTTAAATATCACAAAACTTAATCCAATTTATCGATTATAAAATATTAATTCTTATATATGTGACGAAGGAATCACATTTATTATCTACTACTCATTTTGGATTTAAAAATCGTTTATTTTGAATTTGGGTGCATTTCATATTTTTTCAATTTCAGACCACCTGGTAGCAACCTTTAGTATCATTGCTTTCTTTTCTCCCAATGCAGGCGAAGATACATCGAGGTTACTTAAGTACTGTTTTATAGCTTATGGTTTTCGGATTTCCACTAGTCTAGCGGTTGTAATATCTTCCTTTCAGACCAAGTGTCATTCCCCTTGTATCGTTTCTATATATAGGTTACTGGTAGTACTTGGAAAAAACACATTAACAGCTCAAGCAAAGAAACTTTTTCCCAAAAGTATTTAAGTGGGAAAACATTCCAAAGTTAATTGTTTTTTGTTTTTTTAATTTTTCCTGGAAATTATTCGAGTTACCTTTACAAGGAACACCAACGTTACACTTGTCTGATTCAAAGGGAGCTCCTTCACAGGTTTGGCCAAATCCTTCGCCTTTACATTCACGAGTCCTGGTTTTGAATCCATGATCACAGGACTTGGAGCAAGGTCCCCACTCAGACCATTCACTCCATTGAGGTGGCTTGTCCACTGTAGATAGAAAAAATATCAAATATTTGGTGCCAATGAAATAATTTTACATACTTTATCAAAATGGAAGGCGTTCCTCAAGGATCAGTAATTGGTCCTTGGTCCGTGTACCTTCCGGCCATTTGATTTTTAAAAATAAGAAAATTGAATTTCGTTCACCAATTTTTTTGATTTTATTGTTTTGAGAGTAAGAAATTACCAAAAATAGCATTTTTTTTATTTTTGATAATAAGAAATTAGCTTTTTTTGATTGAAATCT